ATCTACGCACCAGAACCATGGCCGTAATGGAGTTCGAACAAAGGAGCCGATCCCGAGGACGGTGAGTGGAGATAAATTCACTCTTCGGTTAAACTAGCCTATACCCGGGTCGAGGTGGCACGACCCCGGGGGGTCCATGAGACTCGGCAATATTTTGCGGCAGGACGTCCTCTCGGACTACCCCTGACCCTTTGGGATGATTGGGCTAGCCATTTTGCCTTCTTCTTCACCCAATCTCTTATCTCCATCATCTCCTTTGTTGTTGTGTTCCTAAGTTGAGATTATTGAAGAATCTAAGCCTCTCAATCATATTCTAGAGAATTCGAAGTTGTTCTTCAAGGATCTTCGAAGATCTTCGAATTTTCCAACTCCTTTCTTGAACCCTCTCCTACAGGCGGGATATAATTTTTTAAATTATAAGAGATAATTCATATTTTAAACAAATTTCAAAAATATATTTATAATTTACCGTTATAAAAATTATCCTAAGGGGGTGTTTGTTTGATGGGATACAACCATGGGATTGGACTCCATCTCTAATGAAATAATTAATCCAACGTTTTGATAGAAAAAACGAAGGTCAAACTAACCGTCTCTCATATGTGGGATAACTTTATCCTATGGGTGTGAAATAAAAATAGACGGATTGAATCAACCTTCGGATTAAATAGTTAAATAACGAAATTGATCCCTCGAATATATAAAGGGAAACTACATGTAGGAGGAAATTGAGGAAAAAAATAACCAACACATGGTGAGGTGCAATTACACTCCAATAGTCTTTCATTTGCACTACACCACAAACACACTTGCACCAGCATGGGTTGGGATCTTTTTTTTTTTCTCCTACTTACATGTAAGTCTCCCAATATATAACATTTTTTTTAAACATGTATAAATTAATCTCATAATATATATATATATATATATATTTTTAATTTTTTTGGTATTAGCAAAATAATAAAATGAAATATACTTTCAATATTCAAAAGGAAAAGGGAAAAAAAAAACATATTTTTCCTTTGTTTTTTAAAACATTTTTTTTAAAGATTTTGATTTTTTTTTTAAGTATGTATAAATTAGGAAAATTTATTAGAAAATTATTTTTCAAGTGTTTGTAGCCTAATTAGACCATAAGATATTCTTTTATTCCAATAAGTCATATTATTTGAACTTTGACTTACAAAATCTTAATTCTCATATTTAAAGTATTTTATGGACATTTCTACCTTTACAAATATTTTTTGAACGGTTAATTTTCTGTTTTCTGTTTATATTTACAAAAATTTTAAAAACTCAAATAAAAACTTGTTTGGTAAAATTTTTGATTTATAAATCAGTGATCTCAGTTTATAAATTTGGCCAAAAAATGAAAACACAAAAAATGTGTTTCCATTTTGAGTTTTCAATTTTTTTTTTTTACCACCCAACACTAGCCACCACCCGCCACCATTTTCCACCACCGTCTTCCGCCACCATTACCAATAATTCAAAGTATTGCACTTTCATGAAAATGCAAGTCAAAGGAAGCGAGACTTGTATACCACGCTACAACCAACTCGATTATACCTTTCTAAAAATGTAATTATTTTGAGTTATTCACATTTAAATGTATTTAGGTTTATATTTATATTATTGCGGTTTTTTTTTTCTTTCTTTCTTGGCAAGAGGAAATGTGTTGTAGATAAGTCCTAATTGACTCTATTATTATTGATTCATTTGAATTTTTTCTTTTCTTGCTCAAATGAATGGAATTTTTAATTCGTAATTCATATCTTGAGATTTGAACATGATGTTAGTATTTATAGTCTTAAAAACTTAAATATTATTAGCGTGTATCATTAAGATATATGTTAAGTCAACTCAAAAAGATTATACATTTTTTGTTGCACTAAGAGCAATTCTAGACATACTTTTCATGTTTCACTGGCTAAAATATAAAAGGGATATATTCTTTATTTTTTTTTTTATCTATATACTCCAATACTACATTTTATTTTACATATCTACATATACAAACTGTTTAAAAAGTCTTTCAAAACTCTTCAAATGTAGCTAACCTTTGAAATTTTTTGTTAAAACACTATTGTAATAGTTAGTCCATTGAAGAGATTAAAATGTAATGATGCTAGTTATAATACCCTTGAAAGTATTCTCACTTTCATGTAAAATGTACAGCACTTTTAAGCCTTTTATCATATACCTAATAGTAGACATTAACAAAATTCTTATTAATTTTGTTTACTAAATCTTTTAGACATTTTCTGTATGAGGAGCAAATATTATCTCAAATAAAAACTTGTTTAGTAAATTTTTGATTTATAAATCAATGGTCTTAGTTTATAAATTTGGCCAAAAAATGTAAACTCAAAAAATGCGTTTCCGTTTTGAGTTTTAATTTTTTTTTTTACCACCCAACGCTAGCCACCACCCGCCACCATTTTCCACCACCGTCTTCCACCACCACCACCCGCCACCCACTTGCCACTACCACCCATCACCCGCCGCCGCCACCACCACCACCACTACCACCCACTCGCTACCACCCGCCACCACCCACCACCACCAGCTACTCACCACCCACCGTCACCACCGTCTTCCGCCGCCACTTACCACCACTTGTCATTTCTCACTCTTTTTTATATTTTTAAATTTTTTTAAACATTGTCAATTACCAAACGCGTTTGTAGTTTATGTTTTTCTAAAAATAAACAAGAAATAAACAAAAACCAATTTATAAAATTTTTGTAAATATAAACTGAAAACGTAAACGTTACCAAACACACCTTTAGCAATTTGGTAATGTGAACATTTATATTTTAAAATGTGAATATTCACATTGACGTGTGAATGCTCACATTGACAGTGTGAACATTCACATTGACATGTTAACATTTACATCGATGGTGTGAACATTCACACTGTAAATGTGAATATTATTAGGGGTATTTTGGTAATTATGTCACTCATAGGACTTATTGGAATATATAAAAATAATGTGGAGTAGGCAAAAATGGATTTATGAAAAAAAGCTCCTATAAATTAATCTCATAATATATAATAGTATTTTTTTTAGTAAAATTATAAATAGAAATATATTTCTAATGTCACATTTAAATAAAACTAATAGTGGTTTTACTAAAATAAAATATACTTTAAATTTAACATTGTCATTGTAATCAATTTTAAAAAGACAAAATGATCTTTTGAGAAGTTATTCAGTGTGTTTGGTTTCAATTTTTTAAATTTAGTTTTCTGAAAATTGAGTTTTTTTTTTTAAATTTTTAGTGAATATTTTTAAAATTTTAAGCATTTTGTTTTACTTGTTTTTGATACACCTTACTTAAATGTATCTAAAAAGTAAAATATTTGTGAAAAAATATTTTTAAAAATTAATAAATACACAAAAATACGAAAAATATATTGAATTTTCATATTTTTTTGTATTTTTGGTCTTTAGTGAATTTTTTAAAGATTTTTTTCACAAAAATTATACTTTTTAAGTGTATTTACGTTAGGTGTATCTGAAAATTAAAAAAATTGCTTAAAATATTAACAAAATTCAGTAAAAACAAAAAATAAGAAAAATAAGAAAATAAGGCTCCGTTTGGTAAGAGTTTCGAATTATAGTTCTACCCATTGATTTGAGTGTATTGTTTGTTTTGAGTTTTCAAATGATGATTCTACACCCATTTCTCAAAACTCAATTCAAAACATAATCATTATTTTTCAAAACTCATAACCAAACACATAATTCAAAACTATTTTCAAAACTCAATTCAAATCAATATTTTAATTTTTTAAATATTTTAAATATTTATAATATAATTTTTATGTCTAAAATAAAAATAATTTCTTAATTGAGTTTTGTTTTATGTGTTTGGTTACGATTTGAGTGTAGAGTTGTGAAAGTAGTATGGAGTTTCGAGTTATGTGTTTGGTTATGAGTTTTAAAAATAATTTCTTAATTGAGTTTTATTTTATGTGTTTGGTTACGATTTGAGTGTAGAGTTGTGAAAGTAGTATGGAGTTTCGAGTTATGTGTTTGGTTATGAATTTTAAAAATAATTTCTTAATTGAGTTTTATTTTATGTGTTTGGTTACTATTTCAGTGTAGAGTTGTTTTTAAATTTAAAATATTAACATTTTAAATTATTTAATTTTTTTGAATATTTAAATTATTTGAATTTTTACGATTTAAATTTTTTGAATATTTATTTTAATTTTTTACTTATTAAATTTTTTAGATTATTTAAATTATTTAAATATTTATGATTTAAATTTTTTGAATTTTTATTTTGAAAAAAATTTATTTCCTTTGTAGTATTTTCAATTAAAAAATTGATTAATATTATTTTCTGTTAATTATAAAATTTTTTAATTGAATTTTAACAAAAGTTTAGTTATGAGTGTTTATTAAAATTTTTAATAGTGTGAAAGTAATGTGTTTTGTTATGAGTTATAACAATTTGAATTAAGTTTTAAAAACTCTTTCCAAAACTCATAACCAAACAAATTTTCTTACTTCACATGTCAAATCAAACTTTTAAAACTCAATTCCACACTCAATTCAAAACTCAATTCAACACTCTATTCAAAAACCATAACCAAACAAATTTTCTACACTCAAATCATAATTCCACAACTCACAAACTCAAAATACAACTCATACTCTCAAATCATATTTACAAAATTCTACCAAACGCAACCTAAATTTCTGAAAAGTGAATTTTAAAAATTTAAAACAAACAAACTGATTATTTTTTTATAATTTTTTAATTAAACACGAGATTCACTAAAATAGTAATTTTCAGACATTTAATTTATGATAAAATAAACATAAATATATATTATTTTTAATCAAATAATTCAAATTCTATTTATCTAAAGATTAACAATCCATTAAATTCAAATCTCCCCCATCCATCCAGTCCATCCTAAGGTTCCGGGCGCTTCGTCCCCTGCCCTTCTGAAGGTCTCATTACAATATTTTTGTTTGTTTTTTTCATTTTTCTAGCAGACCCCAGACCATTTCCATTTTACACCCTGCCCCCATCATCCCCCCCTCTCCCTCTCTCTTTCTGTAGAGAGAGTTTTGATTTTCAATTTGGACCGTGGACACGCCCACACCCACATCCCTCTCGTGCAAAAAATTCTGGTTAGTCACAACATTCATATCTCACTCCCCCTAGGGCTTGGTATATAATAGTGAGATAGGAAAAAAAAATAAAAAAAAATACAGCGACAACCCACAATTCAATTTCACCTCTATGCCAACTACAATGGATCAAAAAAGGTGATCTTTCAGTTGCTAAGGTACATTACCGCCCAATTCCCTTCATAGTCTCTCATCTGTTATTTTTATTTAGCCAAGGACATGCCATTGTTATTATACTTATATATATATACGACTATGTATGTAACATTGTATGGTTATGTTCGGTGACCACCCAAAAAAAGTAAACGCACAATTAATCTGAAAATTTTGATCATACCCTTTATTCAATTCATTGTTTTAATTAATCCAAACGTTTCTTAGGACATTTTGATTGTGATTTTGGGTACATGTTTTAATTCAATGATTGTTCACTTTTTTTTGATTTGGACCCATGTCATCACTGTCTGAATTTAGGTCAGAGGCCTTTTTTTTTTTTTGATCTGCGACATTCATGTTGTTGGGGTTTGGTTAATTTTTCCACATCCGATTAAGATAAATGTAGGGTTTTAATGTTCTTTTTTTTTGGATGGTTCTTTGTAATTTCGTCAGGTGGATTAGGGGTTTCTGTTTAATAATCCATTACAATCTAAAAGGTCGTGATTTGGGTAAATTTATGTTTCACACACTCAGTTAATTAGTTATGTTTGTGAAAAGCTTCAATTTTTCATGTAATGGAAGGTCAAACGTTTTCAACGATGAATTTTCAAATGTTTCCTGCCACATAAAATACAGGCAGGCATACATACATACATACATATATATATATATATATATACAGTAACATGTGCAATTTTAAAGATCGTGAGTGTGCTATGAAATTTACAATCAATTTGAGAATTCTATTTGTTCTTGATTTTATGTAGCGGTTCTTGTGGGTATCAAAAATTAAAAAAACGTGAAACCAAATATATACACTCAGTGGGAGAAGTGGTTTAGGAAGAGTGAGAAAATGAATTATTTTGGGACAATGATTTTCTTATAAATAATTTTTAAAAATTGTAAAAGCATGTTTTTATTTGGATAATTTTGGATAACAATTAGTGTGTCACAACTTCATTTTTGTGTCAACTTCAATTGAGGTGTTCGCTTTGTAATATATAAGCATAGATATTATATATGTATTTCTTGAATTTCTTTTGCCATAAGTATGGGTCACTATTTATCTATTTTTCGCGGATGTTGAGTTAATTGTCAGATGAGTTTTGTGCAGTTGTAGTGATACAGCTGATTCATTTTTTTACAGTACCTTGGTTGGTTAACTCAGTTTCTTGTATGAAGCATTGGTGGATATTAAAATAATATATATATATATATCTCTATAATACTAATATAAAAATCCAGAACACCTATTAATATAAAAATCCAGAAGATCTGCGACATTCATGTTGTTGGGGTTTGGTTAATTTTTCCACATCCGATTAAGATAAATGTAGGGTTTTAATGTTCTTTTTTTTTGGATGGTTCTTTGTAATTTCGTCAGGTGGATTAGGGGTTTCTGTTTAATAATCCATTACAATCTAAAAGGTCGTGATTTGGGTAAATTTATGTTTCACACACTCAGTTAATTAGTTATGTTTGTGAAAAGCTTCAATTTTTCATGTAATGGAAGGTCAAACGTTTTCAACGATGAATTTTCAAATGTTTCCTGCCACATAAAATACAGGCAGGCATACATACATACATACATATATATATATATATATATACAGTAACATGTGCAATTTTAAAGATCGTGAGTGTGCTATGAAATTTACAATCAATTTGAGAATTCTATTTGTTCTTGATTTTATGTAGCGGTTCTTGTGGGTATCAAAAATTAAAAAAACGTGAAACCAAATATATACACTCAGTGGGAGAAGTGGTTTAGGAAGAGTGAGAAAATGAATTATTTTGGGACAATGATTTTCTTATAAATAATTTTTAAAAATTGTAAAAGCATGTTTTTATTTGGATAATTTTGGATAACAATTAGTGTGTCACTTCATTTTTGTGTCAACTTCAATTGAGGTGTTCGCTTTATAATATATAAGCATAGATATTATATATGTATTTCTTGAATTTCTTTTGCCATAAGTATGGGTCACTATTTATCTATTTTTCGCGGATGTTGAGTTAAATGTCAGATGAGTTTTGTGCAGTTGTAGTAATACAGCTGATTCATTTTTTTACAGTACCTTGGTTGGTTAACACAGTTTCTTGTATGAAGCATTGGTGGATATTAAAATAATATATATCTATAATACTAATATAAAAATCCAGAACACCTATTTGGTGTGAACCAAACAGTGAAAATATTGTCATGTTTTTTCTAATTTCAAAATTACTTTAAGAAACTGCTTTAGTTTTTGATTTCTCAAGCTCTCTCAAATGCTTCACTTTCTGATTATTGTCAATTTTTAGTTCTTGCTATCAAGGGCTTCAGTTTTTAATTGTGAACAATTAAAATTTGGTCTCCCAAGATTTTTGTAGTGCACGCATTGCTTGTGCACACCCTCTTGTGCAAAGAATTTTGTTCTTCAAAATTGGTAATTGCAACTTCAAGGATGTGTTCTTTCTGTTTCGACAGAGATAATTAAAAAATGTCTGGCATTCAAAAATCAATTTCAAAACGGAATGTGATTTGTCTAATATTGGCCTTTGGATATGTTGTTGCTGCCTGGTTGTTGATTAATGTTATGAGTAAAAGAATAAAATTGGGAGACTTGGAATTGATTAGTCATGTGACGTACTAATTTTATACATATTCAGGTTCATTTCTGGTTTTGTCTAAAATCTTATTGATAAACCTTCGTGACTATCAAATAGGAAGTGGAAAAAAAAAAAATTGTGCTTATCAAAGTTACATCAGATGGGTACTCAAAGTTACTATTTTTCTGAAAGCATGAAACATCCATTTATTATTTGCCATTTCATTGTTCCTCAAACACAGTTGGTTTGGTTTGGTAATCACTTGTGCATTCTGTATCTGGGATTTTTCTTCTGTTTTTTTCAAATATTTACAAAGGCCAGGTCCAAATGGGAACATGTTCTTTGGTCTTTAAAGTCTGTTTTCAATGGTTTGACAAGAACTTTCTTTTTGCATTAGGTTGTAAATATAGCACCACTTAGACACATGCATGAATGCACGGAAACATATACATACCAGATGATGATTACAAGTGGCGCAAATTATATATTCTTTTGCTTTTATATTGAGTTCCATCCGTAGTTGTTGCATATTGGGTAATTTCAGTTCATGCACATCTTACTTTTTTCCATGTGTTTGAGCTTTGTTTGAACATCACAGGTGAGAGTGGGATGTAATGGGTGATAATATAGACAATATATGGCATTACATATTTTAGAGCGCAATTATGGAAGTGTTTCCTTGTTCCGGCTTGCATTATGTTGAGGAATCAGATTGCCCTCAACAGGGTTCAGGAACAACTATTATTTTTGGCGGGGAATCGAACTGTCTTGAACACGGAGAAGAAGTTCAAGTGGCAGATGTTAAAGTGAGCGATTTGGTGCATATTCAAAATTTTTCTTGTGATGCTCATGATTCTGAGGATGGGAACTTGAATGGACAGGATTTTTGCACAGAGTCTTGCCTGGCCTCTGAGACTGACCATTTACTTGTAGATACTATTGAAAGCAGGGTGTTGAGTAACAAAGAGGGAGAGTCTTCTCTTTCAGAATCCAAGTGGTTAGAACATGATGAATCTTTGGCTGTTTGGGTCAAGGTATATATTAATGTTGTTGCTTTGACTTCTAGCTTGTTCTCTTTTATTGTATCATTAGTATAGTGCACATATACAAGTTTGATAGTTCTGGGACGCTGTTTCTCAATGTGGTTGCCTTGTTGATTGAGGTTTGATTGTACAGATTAATATGATGGCTGGTGAAGTAGAAATGAAAACTTCACCTGGCTCTGACATATGCTGCATTTAGATGGTCTGAAAACTGGCTAGTTGCCAGAAAATCAGATCAACTCTTGTGTGCATCACCATGTTCTTTGACACCATATTTTATTTTATTTTATGCTTATTTTTCTTGTGCACAGTACTGCTTTAAGCTTTTGCATCTAATTTTACATGGTATAACTTATGGATATAATGCTGATTTTGTTTTTGTGTTTATATCTCTCTGTTTTACCAAGTATAGTGGAGAGGGAAGTGGCAAGCAGCAATCAAATGCGCAAGGGCAGACTGGCCATTGTCGACAGTGAAAGCAAAACCAACTCATGACAGGAAAAAGTATCTTGTGATATTTTTTCCACGCAAAAGAAATTACTCTTGGGCAGATGTGCTACTTGTCCGTCCAATTAATGAATTTCCAGAGCCCATTGCATATAGGACACACAAAGTTGGAATGAAAATGGTGAAAGATTTGACTCTTGCCCACCGGTTTATCATGCAAAAGCTGGCTGTTAGCATGCTAAATATTATTGACCAATTACATACCAAGGTGCTTGTTGCTTGTTGCACATTTTTTGACAGAGCCCATTGCATATAGGACACACAAAGTTGGAATGAAAATGGTGAAAGATTTGACTCTTGCCCACCGGTTTATCATGCAAAAGCTGGCTGTTAGCATGCTAAATATTATTGACCAATTACATACCAAGGTGTTGTTGCTTGTTGCACATTTTTTTGATTTATTCTTTTTTCCTGTTCATCTAATTTTGAATCTTACTTTCATGTCCATTCTTAATTGAGATCCTTCAAACTTATTTAGGCTCTGACAGAGACTGCTCGCAGCGTGATGGTTTGGAAGGAATTTGCAATGGAGGCTTCTCGCTGCAAGGGTTATTCTGATCTTGGAAGGATGCTTCTGAAACTTCAGAATGTAACTTCCTTTCTATAGCTAAATGACAGAGTAGTAGAAGTACAAAGATATATTATTTGTCTACTTCACATTCCATTTGTTTTTCCAAATTGATAAGATTGATAGGTTATTTTGGAGTCCATCGTCTTTATTTGATTCATTTTTGTCACTGGAATATTATAAGGTGTTAAAAGATCATACGTAAGGCGTGATATTGTGGAGGAATTTTTGTGAGCTGCATTGAAGACCCCAAATTTGAAATTCTTTTGGATTTTCTATCTTGTTCCAATAAAGCTACGGAAGTTACAAATTTCATTGCTGGAGTGATAAAAAATATTATCGTGGGTGACTTGCGTATGCTACTCCGATTATAATTTGTTGTGATTTTTTATGCTTATGCTACCGTGATTTCTTGTGATGTATAGATTAAATGAACGTTTTTTTGTTGTTGTTAAAACATGCATAATTTACAACTTTATTTTCTGACTTCTTAACCTTTGATGGAATGCAATTGTTATGTGAATTATATCTTGCTGTTTAAGCCATGGAGTCTATGAATTTTAATTTTAGTTAGTTGTGTTGCATTTTTCATTATCTTCGAATAAAACATTCAAAAACATTATATTTTGCTCATATCCTTCACATGCTGTGTCCTGCTTTTCTTTCTTTCTTTCTTTTTTCTTTTTTAAAAAAAAATTTGTGTATCGGTGTCTCATATCGTGTTGCATGCTCATGTCTCTGTTTCTTAGCACTTGAGAGCTCTTCACATTTGAGATAAAGTTTTGATGCATCTAGAGTGATGTGGTGCTTCTTGTGTGGTTTCTTAGACTTGGTATTACCATGGCCAATTTGCCAGCCGGACAGTGTAAGAAAAGTGCAAAAATACATTACACCACAATTCTGCTGCATGATGTGTATGGGTTGAGACCTAAATTAAATCTTTTAGCTTTTGTTCCTAGTCTATCCTTCGATGCTGCATCATGCTATTAATGATGAAATCAGTTGTTTGTTAAGTGATGGTTCTGATGAAGAATATTCAACTTAATGAATGTCTTACCGCAGTGTGTAATCTGAGATTTGCATCTTTTGGCATCTTTGTGTGTTTTGACTTACTCATACATCTGTTTCTGTATTACAGTGGGTAGATGCTTTTTCTGCCCATCTACGTCTTGCATACTTTATTTAGCTTGGTAGATGCTTTTGTTATACTTTTTTCCTTTCAAGCAACTGACATTCTCTTATATTAACACAACTACAGTTTAATTAAGTGGAATACAAGAGTGTGCTTCTGTTAAATTATTAGAAGCAATAGCCGAGTCTGCTTGGTAATGTTTTTGTTTAAAAAAATTTTGAAAGCTGAAACAAAAGCACGTTTATTGTTCTTGCCAAAAATGGCATTCAAATTTTTGGGGAAAAAAATTGTTTTCCTCACATCCTGCAACCCCTGGCCACTCCATCTCATCTGACAACTCACCAAACATGTTTTCTTATTATTTTTGTTTGTTTTGAAAAGATGTGTGTGTACCAAACATGAATTTTTTTTTTTTGGTACTGTTTTGCAAAAATAAATTAAAACATGTTTTTGGTTGTCTGAAAACTAAAAATTGGCATTGTTACTAAACACAACCTTAAAGAAACAAAATAAAAACAGGATCATCAGAAGTGGGGAACAAGATAGGAGGCGGTGGTAGTTTAGCATTTTCTTTCCACCATATAGCTTGGCTATTCTGATTTGATCTGGACGATGTTTATTTTGTTCTTCCACAAGATAGTTGGTCAATGGCTTAAACGTTTTGGCATGCTGTCAGTGACATTTGCTCATTCTAAAACTACATAATTGCAATGGCTATGTTCAGATATTTTTGAGTCTGTCCTTTTAGGATTAAGAAAATAACAATCAAAAACATTTTCGAGTAATATGACAATTTACTAGGGTAAGTTATTTTGGGTTTCTGATGATTAGATTTGTTGATTGCTGGCATTAGAAGGATGCCAACTGTATGATAAAATGCTGAGTTCTACCTTGCAGGCGTCTTGGATGCTCTCTACTTCAATTGTGCTATTTATAGACTGAGTTTCTTGCATTTTGCTGACCATAAAATTCCGATTCTGTACTTGATTTACCTGGGATCTTTTCCAACTCATTTCTGGTCAATGGTGAGGTAACACTATGTTTATATTTCGCAGATGATACTACAGTGCTGTTTGAATTCTGATTGGCTACAGCATTCTTTCCACTCTTGGGTACAGCAATGCCAGAATGCACATAATGCAGACTCCATAGAAATGCTGAGAGAGGTACTTGCCCATCTCTGGCTTCTTATTGATTTACCCATTATGTAAAATTAGGTAGGGGAGCATCTGGTGTCTTTCTTCGTTGTCTCTAAAAGCCCCTGCTTTGATTTTCTATTCCAAACAACCAACCAGTGGTTTTATTCAGATTCCAATTTTTGGCAATAAGCCCCACATTTGCATGTTTTAATGAACCCATGTTTGCATAGAAGGTGCAACCCCCTTGTGTTAGTCAATTGTAGAGTATGCATAGACCTGCACTTTGAAAGTGCTTTTTCTTGGAGAGCTTGATATTTATTGTTGAGCCCCTTTCCTACTTTTGGGATAATTGGTGACCAAACATGGTCAGAGCTCAAGTTTAGAGTTTTCTTGGATTCAAGTCTCTCTGTTTACATTTGTTTTCTTATTTGCATTCTGTTCTCTACATGCTTGCATGTTTGCATCCCCACGTGCAAGATGGATTGCATGTTGGGGATGGTCTTAGAGAGCTTGATATGCATTATTGGGTCCCTTTTCTTAACAGCTCAAGTTTTGGGACCAGTGGTGTTTTAACACTTGTGAAAACTTGAATAAAGAAAAGGAAGAATCTATTCTTTGATGAATGCAAAAAGGTTTAGCCATTGAATTCAGGTATGCTTTCTTCCTGGCTACTACCATCACTATAATTGAAGCATCACCGACTTTATCCACTGCTCAAGCCACTTTACAACGATCAGTGACCACCACCGCCATTGTGAATGTTTTGGGATAATTGGTGATCTACCACATAACCATATCACCACCTTCACTGGCGTAACCATTGGTGCTACTACCCATGCTTTATAAGCACTATTGTATCATTGTCACCATTATTCCACAGCTTGAGGGTTAATTTGATCCTATCATGCCTATGGTTGAATTTTAAAAAAGAGACCTTTCAATTTAAAAAAAGTACATTATGGGAAGTTATAAGTGGTACCAATTTAAGATAAAATGAGAGAAGGCTGTTTGATATCGGTTGACCCCATGTGCAACGTAGACCCCAATCTGACGACACTAAGAGGACACACACCCACACTCACGAGGGGCTGGGTGCATGGAAGGAAATATTTCAACTTAATTGAAGGTTGGGTTGGTTGTTTAAAGCCTTGACTATCATGATCTAACTTGCACCTGTCTAAAGTATACTGATACCTTTTACATACATGATATATGGTGACCAAGGTTTCAAAAAGCGGTTGCGGTTGCCGTAATGATTGAGGTGACGCGGTTGTGGTTGCGGGTGCGGGGTGTAAAGACTGCAACGTAACGGTTGTAGTAACCAGAGCCGTGAATTTTTTTATTTTTCTCACAATTTAAAAAAAACTTACCGATACACATTTTTTTTTCCTTCAAAATCACAGTTATTGGGGTTTAAAATAGATTTTAATCAATTTTTTGTTAGTTTTTAAGTATGATCCAATATATTTCATATTTTTGAATCACTATGAAAGGAATTTTTTACACTTTATTTCAATAATTAATGACTTTAAGCAAAATTGATTTTAAAAAATATTTACAATTATTCAATGAAATGCTTATAAAATAAAAATTGTGCCATGAACAAAAATTTTGAGCTACTAATTTCTTTTTTTAAAGACATTTTTTAGACAACACATTACAATAACAAAATAAAAAATATTTTCAAATTAAATAGTAGATAACATGATTATAAAAATAAATGCAACCATTGTTTATATATTTTTTATTTTAATTTTTACGTGCTAATGTAATGAAATAAAAATGAAAAAAAAAAATTATATAAACAAAAAAGTCATACAAGGTTTTTTCTTTGGGTTTGGATTACTTGAGTATTCATTCTTTTTTTGTAAGCTTTTTTTTTATTATATAGAAAGTGTAGAAATTTAATGTATAAAGAGAAATAGAGAATTGTATTATTGATTGATTTATGTTTGTTGTTTTTTTACAATGATTCATGATTCCTATATATAGAAGAGGGTGAGTGTGTAGTAGGTAAGAAGTAGGTGAAGTGGAGGTGGTAGTGGTGTAGTGGGTTAGGTTTAGTGGAGTAGGTGAGGTGGTAGTGGTGTAGTGAGTTAGGTTTAGTGGAGTAGGTTTAAGTGGGTGAAGTAGGTGATAAATTTTAAGCTATTCAAAATATTGTAACTGTGTAATGGGTTGTAACAGTTGTTACGGTACCGCTACAGCCGTTACGTAATACTGAAACAACCGTTACACGTGAATTTTCGTCACATCGCAAAAGCGGGTGTAACGGGTAGCGCCTATTGCCACAACCATTACGTAACGGTTGCAACCGTTACGTAGCATTGTTTTTTGAAACCTTAATAGTGCCTATCTATGAAGCACAGGTGCGGGTGCGGGTACTGATATCGGTATGGGTACGATACGGGTATGCCGATACGCCAAAATCTAAAAAAAATAAGGTATGGGTATGGCTGGGGTACACTAATATTTATTTATTTATTTTTAATTTATAGATAAACTTTCAACATACAAATCAAAGTTCAAACCATAAGCATACCACTACTAAAGTAAAAAACAAAAAATAAATCATTGGTCAACAATCCCAATATTAAAGTAAAGTCCACAAGTTATTTTAATGAAGCTAAATAAAAATAAAAGATAATAAACCATTTCCTAAGTAGGAAACTTAAAAAATTAACTTTTACTTCCATCAACTTAATCATTAAATAACACATCTTCCATTAACATAATAATTTGTCTTAGAATTTAAAATTTTTATTTTTTATTTTATATAATTCTGATTGTCTACTACAACAATAAAACAAAAAATGTTAAAACAAAAAAACAAATCACAAAAGAAGATTCAAAGGAGAAACGAAGAAAAAGGAGAATCAAAGAAAGGAGATCAAATACAATAGGAGGAATTGAAAGTTGAGTCGCCAACACCTTTCTTCCAATGAGAGTCAAGATTGGGAACCAGCATGACCATCCGACGAAGAAAAGGAACAAATACAGAGATATTTGTAAACCTAATTTGTTTATCTTCTTTATTATTACAAAACACCCTAACTTTATTAAGTTTTTCAAAATGTACAAAAAATATTTGCTTCGGTGCCCTTGAAAAATTTTAAAAATTTTGTTTTTGCCCCTCTGTACCCAAACCCATACCCATGGAATACCTACCATGTAACCATGGCGTACCCAACTTCCCAGACCGTATAAAACGTACCTGGTGTGTATTTGGCATACCCAATACGCGTGTAATCGTACTAGTACGCATACCTGTACCAGGTAAGTACCCAGTACTTGTACGACAATGTTTTTGGGGTACCCGTGCTTCATTGGTGACTGTGTACATGGTTATTTATATAAGATTCTTTCATGTTATGATTTAATTATTGTGTTGTAATATTGTTGAGATTTACATCATACAACATGGTATGAGGAAGAAATGGAAAGGGAGGGAAGCTGAGGGAACAAAAGGGAAAGTGTGAAGCCAAATATGCTTTGGCCCACCGTAAAGCATCCTCCTAAAATTGGGTGTAAGAGAAGAGACAAAGTTCTTCCTTTCTATTTTAAAATGGGAACGTACTTTTTTACCCTTTATGGTTAATTTTTTCAACAAGGGTAACAACCTGGAGAGACTCCAGGGGATGTTTCTTCTATCCCACTTTCCCTTCCTTCCTATTTCCACCCCCTACCAACCATAGCATAAAATATGTTTTTCTCATGGTAGTTTGTCTTACATGTTTGTTTTAAATTGTTTTTGTTTTGTAGCAAAAAGATAAGAAATATGATTCTCACTTCTCAAAAGTTTTAGAAAGCATAATCATATTATGGTGCCTAAGTAAATTTTAAGGTTAGATGGAGTCTCATCCCTGGACAAGTTTCTGATAGAAGAACACCAGACCTCAATCTGCCTCCAGCAAAAGAAATGACCCTAAACATGTTAATGTGGTACTTGGGTATAAAACATTATTGTTCAGATGAGTTGAGGGAATAATATTGTGAAGTCTGCTTCAGTGAAGAAGAAAAAGTGGTACCTGTCTGATTCTATTAATTAATTCAATTAGGATTGATGAATCCGAACACAGGCAATGAGTTTGTGAATTATGTTGGCAGGCAAAATCATAACGTTTCAAACTGTATGCAACATTGAGGTAAGAATGGATGGAGTGGTTGGCATATGGTTTTATGAATTCATAAGACCTAACCACCTAACCATGATGGGTGAAATGCAAAACACAAAAATGAGCAAATGCACAAGAAAGATGAATCCCACACACACACGAAGAACATAGGATTTATATGGTTCACTCCAATACTAAGGCCACATCCATGGCTACTGTGGTTTTTACTATGATTAGAAAGGTTACAAGATTACAAGAAATAACCTCCTCCCCTCAACTATAAATACATAGAAAATTAGGATAACAGGTCACAAGTGCGGAAATACCAGAAATACTATTTACTCCAAAATTCTGCAGTCGAGTGGTTGGTGTCCAGTACTTATTAGGATCCATACTGCCCCAACATATGCAAACATCATCCTTTCCATTTCTTTTATGCTTTTATAATTTGAGAGCACCTGTTTGAGTGCCTTTTGAATTAACATTAGTGGTATTTTGTCCTGGTGTATTGTGGATATCCAACATGTGGAAGTTTGTCTTGGAAAATTGTTACAATACATCGACTTTGTTAATGGCCCATTTCTTGTTATTTTTCTGAATTATAAATAGGATGAGATGCTGCAACTAAGACCTCAACAATAAATTGAACCTTTGTCATTTTACAATTGGACCTGTTTTCCGCAGTATTGACTTATTCATATTCATTTTGGATTCAGGAATTAGTTGATTCCATTCTGTGGAACGAAGTCAACGTACTCTCAGATGTAGAAATGCAGCCTGAGTTGGTTTCTGAGTGTAAGAACTGGAAGCATGAAGTTATGAAATGGTTTTCAACATCGCATCCCCTACCTAGTGGTGGAGACATGGAGCAGCAGCCTAATGATAGTTCTTTGCCCACGGGGCTTCAGATTAGCAGGAAGAGACCCAAGCTTGAAGTTCGTCGTGCTGAGTCACATGCTTTTCAAGTTGATACCCAGGGCTCACATCAGGCTATAGCTGTTGAAATTGATGCTGGGTTTTTTGATGGCCGAGGTATTGGAAATACCAGTGCACTAGAATCCAAGCCCCCTAGAGAGGAAATTCATCCAGAGGATACTGATGGATGGGGTGAGATTGTAGTTGAAGCCGGAAATTCAGAAGTCATTCAGACCAAAGATGTGGAAAGGACACCTATGAATGGAGGTCTAGCTAGCAAATCCTTGGATCCTGGTAATAAAAATCGCCAGTGCATAGCTTTTATTGAAGCTAAGGGAAGGCAGTGTGTGAGGTGGGCAAATGATGGTGATGTTTACTGTTGTGTGCATTTGGCTTCTCGTTTTATTGACAATGCTGTAGAAGCAGCGGCAACTCCTGTTGATGCACCGATGTGTGAAGGTACAACCACTCGTGGTACTAAGTGCAAGCATCGGTCTCTATATGGTTCTTCTTTCTGTAAGAAACATAGACCCCGTGATCATACGAACATGACCTTAAGTTCGCCTGGTAGTAAGTTTAAGAGAAAGCATGATGAGATTGTAGATAGATTAGAGGCCACAAATTGCAAAGAAATTGTATTGGTGGGACAAGTTGATACACCTCTCCAAGTCGATCCAATCTCAGTTATGGGTAGAGTAGACTCCAATGAAAAGAGCTTAATTGAGGTGCTGCACTGCATAGGATCATGTCCCCAGGATGGAAGCGATCCTTGTCTGGAAAGTCCAAAGAAGTATTCTTTATATTGTGAAAAACACCTACCAAGCTGGCTTAAACGGGCAAGGAATGGGAAGAGCAGGATAATTTCAAAGGAAGTATTTATAGAGCTTTTGAAGGATTGTTGCTGTCAGGAGCAAAAATTGCACTTGCATCAAGCATGTGAGCTGTTCAACAGGCTCTTTAAAAGTATTTTATCCCTGAGAAACCCAGTTCCTAAGGAAATCCAATTTCAGTGGGTGATCTCTGAAGCTTCGAAAGATGTTAATGCCGGGGAATTCTTGATGAAGTTGGTTTGCAGTGAAATAGAGAGACTCAGGAGTCTTTGGGGTTTTAGTCCTGACAAAGATACTCAAGATTCCTCCCATGTTAAAGAATTAGTTCAAATTCCGGTGGCTACTGATAGTGAGCACGACAGACAAAATACCATCAAGTGCAAAATTTGCTCAGAAAAGTTTCTTGATGACCAAGTGCTTGGCACACACTGGATGGATAATCATAAAAAGGAGGCAAAATGGTTGTTTAGAGGGTATGCTTGTGCCATCTGCCTGGATTCTTTCACTAACAAGAAGGTTCTGGAAGCACATGTGCAGGAGAGACACCACGTGCAATTCGTTGAACAATGCATGCTTTTGCAATGTATTCCTTGTGGTGGCCATTTTGGGAATCCCGAGCAGTTATGGGGGCACGTGCTTTCGGTTCATCCTGCAAATTTTAGGCTGTCAGAAGGTCCTCAACAGCATGATTTGTCTGTGGGTAAAGATCCTATGCAGAAACCTCAGCTGGCCAATTTAGCTTCTGTAGATAATAATCACTCCGAGAATCAAGGTGGTTTCCGAAAATTCATTTGCCGGTTTTGTGGGTTGAAGTTTGATTTGCTACCTGATCTAGGCCGTCACCATCAAGCTGCTCATATGGGTCCAAGTTTTGTAGGTCCACGCCCTTCGAAGAGGGGTATCCATTTTTATTCGTATAGATTAAAATCAGGGAGACTAACCCGCCCTAGATTTAGAAAAAGTCTGGGGTCAGCATCATTTCGGATTCGGAACAGGGGTGGTACAAGTGTGAAGAAACTCATCCAGGCATCAAATTCAGTTGGCTCTGAGGAAATGAAAGTACAATCTCATGTAACTGAGGCATCAAGTCTTGGAAGATTAGCAGAATCTCAATGCTCAGCTATTGCAAAGATATTGTTTTCTGAGATTCAGAAAACAAAACTACATCCCAGTAACCTTGACATTTTATATATTGCTCGCTCTTCATGTTGCAAAGTAGGCCTCGAAGCCTCGTTGGAGAAGACATATGGACTATTGCCAGAACGTTTGTATCTTAAGGCAGCCAAACTTTGTAGTGAGCATAATATTCTGGTGGACTGGCATAGAGAGGGGTTTATTTGTCCCAAAGGATGTGAATCAATAAAAGATCCACATCTGGTGTCTTTCTTGATGCCTCTCTCAGAGGATGTAGCGGGATTGAGATCGGCACTTCCAACTGATCCTGTGAATAATGAGTGGGAAATGGATGAGTGCCACCATGTCATTGATTCCCGGCATTTTAAACAGAATTCTATGCAGAAAACCTTTATCTTGTGTGACGACATAAGCTTTGGGCACGAAACAGTTCCAATAATGTGTGTAGTGGATGAAAATCTTTTGGATTCCCTTCCCATTGTTCAAGACAGATCTGATGGCCAAATAACTGCAGACTCTATGCCTTGGGAGAGCTTTACATATGCCAGGAAACCGTTGTTTGATCGATCCCTTTCTCTTGAAGCAGAGGTATTTTCATGCATCTTATTTTAGGCTTTGTTTTTAAATTTTATATTAATCTTGATTTAGAATATGGGGTTGGGACTCCCATTGTTGTTCCATCTTTGAGGACATTGTAAAACTAAATCATTGAATCTAACTTGAGTAAGAGCGGACTCTCTCCATCTATTTTTGAATAGAAATACAAAAAGGGTGTGCCTAGTGCACAAAGCTCTGACTTACGTAGAAGGGTCTGGAGAGCCAGAGAGTTGGTAGATAGATTGACAAAACTTTACCTTTACTTTTTGTGGAGAGGCTGATTCTCGTGACTCAAATTCGTACCACAAGTCTAGGGTTGATAGCACTTGCCATCGCCCCGGGTCATGCGCCATACAACACAAGATGATGGGCATGTTTAGTGTAGCTTCTAACAAGCTGAAAGCTGATAATTAGAAAGCAGAAGTTAAAACCACATTTTCCCGTGCTTCCCAAGAATTAGTCTTTTTTAGTTTATTTTAACTATTTCTTCGCATAAGTTAATAAGCAGAAGTTGTACCAACTACTCTGGCACAAATTTCCAAAATAAAAAAAAGTTATACGTTGCATGACATACCTGAGATATTTACATATTTGTCTGGTCAATTTTTCTTGTCCAGAGTTTGCAGTTGGGTTGTGGTTGCACACATTCAACATGCTCTCCTGAAACCTGCGATCATGTATACCTTTTCGATAATGATTACGAGGATGCAAAAGATATATATGGCAAGCCCATGCATGGCAGATTTCCATACGATGCGAAAGGCCGGATCATTTTGAAGGTAAATTATTTCAGTTATATACTACCAGTAACATACTCCTTTTTTTGATAATTTTGTTTTACCACAATTACCTGTGCTTTCAGATATATACATGTGCATATGTATGTTTACATATATATATATATTTTTCCCTATAAAAAAATATCTGAAAAGATATTGTTTGGTGTGAGCTGTTCTAATCTCTTTCTTTCTTCCTAGTTATTGTCTTTCAAAAAGAGCAAATGTTTGTTGGCCTGTATTTGTTTAGTGCATTTTTTGTAAGTCAGACAAGCTATTTTCTCTGACCTTGCCAATTCATGGTGTCTATGAAATTATTCATTTTGGGGTTCTATCCAACAAAAACTTACTATCACATTGACTCACTCTGATGCTTGTAATTCTTTCATTATCTTTGATGTATCTCTGTTCGAAGCATGTTATAGAATGATGAGGTCTTGTTCACCGAAAAGATCAATAGGTTATGAACATCCATATATTGTGTCAGTAACTTATAAAAAAATAAAAAATAAAAAATCTTGTGTTGGGAGCTACATTTTTCTACATGACAGGCAAATAAGGAGCTTTGAACCTATTCTTTCATGGGTGATGATTTTATCAGACACTCGGATTGTGTTACTGTTTGTACAGGAGGGTTACTTGGTCTATGAGTGCAATCACATCTGCAGCTGCAGTAGATCCTGTCAGAATAGGGTTTTGCAGAATGGTGTACAAGTTAAATTAGAAGTCTTCAAAACTGAGAATAAGGTAACATTTAATTTAGTTATGGTTTCTAAGAGTCTTAGATTAAGGTCATATCATATTGATTTACAGGGTTGGGCAGTCAGAGCAAGAGAAGAAATCCTGTGTGGTACATTTGTATGCGAGTACGTCGGGGAGGTGATAGATGAGCAGGAAGCAAACAAGAGGCGTATTAGGTTAGGCATTCCGTCTGAAAGACATTTTCATCTGCAACTTGGATGGAGTTTACTTATTTATTATTTATATATATATATATTGGATTTTAATGGATTGTTTTGGCATTTCAGGTATGGACAAGAAGGTTGGGGATATTTCTATGTCATTGATTCTCACATTAATGACATGAGCAGATTGATTGAAGGGCAGCTCCCATATATAATTGACGCTACGAGTTATGGAAATGTTTCACGGTATATCAACCACAGGTGAGGGAATTTAGTGTTACTATTAGTGTACTCTGGTTTGGAGATTTCTTATAGTAGCTTGGCCGGAAAGAAGAGATGTGGATGCAACAAGAAGATTAGAGAGAGGAGAAAACCAGGGAAACAATGCCAATTCACTATCTTAATTTTTCAATACTCAGATCACAAGTCTCAAAATCCATTACATATAGACCTATTTATTGACAATACTAAACCCTAGTGAAAAGTTACAAAAAATAAAATATGACAATAATAATAAACTCCTAATTAGTAATAAATATTAAAATGAGAATACTAAAATGAATGACCAAGTCTTCAATTTTTTCTTCATCCAATGCCTTAAATACTCAAGTCATGAGTATCCAAAAGCCATTACATTGCCTATTTATAGTAGTCATTTTCATCACATGTGTGTATATGCCCTAGGTCAATTGTTAAAGCATGATTGCACACTTCCATGGGTGTGAAGTGCGCATGTGTGTGAGTGATTGTGGCTTTGAACCAGGTTTAATTGGTTCTTTTGGCAAATTGTGAAATTTTAGTTAGTTGAATGGTCCCATTAAAGAACACGATAAAAAACGATCAGAGATGGCATTTCTTATTTTTATCCAACAATATATGTATAGTTTCTTGATTTTGGTCATAAAACGATTCAAATTTGATTCAAGGCTTTGTTGAGGTCAATTTGTTTGCCTATGTGATTGACCTTTGTACTTCATTATGTAGTTGTGCACCAAATCTTGTGAATCATCAAGTCCTTGTGGAAAGCATGGATTGTCAGCTTGCACACATTGGTCTGTATGCAAATCGAGATGTGAGCACTATTCCCTTTTTCCCCAAATTATTTTACTGTCCATATATATAGGCAGGAAAATTGAAAATTTCAATCTTCTATGTTGACTTCTTTATGGGCCGAAAAATTGTGAACAGATAGCTGCGGGGGAAGAGCTGACATATGATTACCAATACAAGCTACTGCCTGGAGAAGGATGCCCGTGCTATTGTGAAGCTCCGAATTGCAGGGGCCGCCTTTACTGAATAAACAACAAAGGAAGATTATGAGATGGGATACATTTTTTTTTTTCCTTTCAGAAAAAGGTTCAAAAAGAACTTTGTGGTCGTCTTGAAGCCATCAACAGTTGTTCACATCTCATGCTCTTCAGTAAGCGGTCACAATTTGTTCGAAGCCAGCAGAGTTTATTTGAGGCACCATAGCTCTTTAGGCTCCAGAACTTTTACCTGTGCTGTAAGTGTATATATGGCTTTGCTTTTTCAGTAGATTGTACCAATACCTTATAGTTTATACATCATGCTTCAAGAGAATGAGGATTAAGCCTTGTTCTGTTTGTTGTTTGCTTAGGTTTTTTACTTGCTGGAGTTGAAAGTTGGCCGAGTTTAGGAAATCGCAGTTGGGTTTATGCCATAAATGGCAGTGTTGAAGATAATTTTATTTCATAATGCCAGTAGCTTTTGCCCATTTTGTTTTTGTTTACAGCCACTATCAGTAGCCATTATAATACTTTGATTCCTTCATTGTTTTTGAGTTATTACATCTTCGTTTAAGAAATGCAATTTAACTTATGATTTGTGTTGAACATAGCAGTTGCAATAGTAAATACTAGTGAGTAATCGCACCTTTCGGATGGTTGTCGCCTTAGGATCTTGAATTTGAGGAGTAAAAATAAAAATGAAGTTACAAAAAAAATTGCTGAATGAGAGAATCTATTGATTTCACAGGCCATATTTTGAAAACATCTTATCATGAAAAGTTTTGTCCAAAACATATTATACAGGAAGACTGCAGGGCTTAGTCTCTTGTGTCTTCTATTCATTCTATTGATTGATAGAACTAGAAGAAGACCTTCTTGACTCTTGTTCACTCAGAACTTCATTTCTCTCTTCTGGAAAATAAAGAAAGCAAAAGAGAGCCCGTAACTGATGGCCACCAAGACTGCCGTTCCTGTTCACCATTAACACCCCATTTCAATATGAAATACATTTTAAATCACATCATCTACATTACTATTACATGCCATTCTTCTAATCATGTATTCCAAATTTTTGTTTATTTGTTTAGATGACGAGATAAGAACCCCTCTAAAGCAGGGCTTTTTGGATCTACTCTTGTAGGGTAAATCCTAGATATCTACAACTATTTGTAAATTACATGTATTCGTTAAATTCAAAAGACACTAATAAGAGTCGAATTCAAAATGTCCGAATTTACGATCTGTCCGAAGTTCACTGTCTGTATGGTTGGACTACGCATGCAGATTAGAGGGTCTCTAATAGTGTGCCAAGTTCTCGAGTCAAAGTCATTTTTGACTATACTCTTGTGAAAATTCCCCCCTCCAATGTTGTGTCAAATATTGAGCCAAAATTTGACTTTACCAAATTTGTCACATTAATAAAGGCAATCATGATCACCAAATGCTTTTGGGAGAATAGATCCAATGATCTAAAATTAATATGACAGTTAGTTATGTAAAAATAGTATGTGAATCGATTAAGTGGTATAGTTGAAATTGACTTTTTTTTCCCCTGAAACCAAAAAAAAAGAAAAAAAAAAAGACGTTGGTAAGGCCATTTTGACTTTCACAATAATGCATTGAGCCTTTAAAACTCTATTATAGAAAAAACAAGAAGTACAGATAGTGTTGGTGTTGTCTCACCATATTGGACATAGTTTGGAACTTTCACTTCATTCTTTTCTGTGGTTTTGCCTTTGACTGATGATGATGATGATGATGATGATAGAGCTTGAAAGTGTAGAAACATGGAGATGATAACAAGCCCACTTCCAAATTTCTCTCTAACAACTCTCTCCCTCATATCTAATGACCAAAACCCATCTATGCCTTCCACAAAATCTTCAATTAGAACTTTGATTAGCAAGAAAAACCCAAACCATTGTGCAAATCTTGCAATTGGTCTCATTATCTTATATTCCGACACCCCGTTGACTAGATTCACAGCACAAGCAGAGGCATACAGAGGAATCCAAAAATACCAATCTATGACAAAATTGACAATACGATCATATATCAGTAAATATTAAGATCAAAATTTAAAATTTTAATACGTACATATGTATATGTGTGTGTGTCTGTGTGTGATACCTGGGTCATTGAATTGAAGAGACGCAGAGAGAGCAAATAAGGAAGCCATTAGTATAGAGCTGAAACTGAACAATAGCTTTCTGGGTTTTGCCATTTGCTCTGTTTGAGAATTTGTGAACTATTGTTGTTGGTGCATCCTAGAACTTCTCACCCATATTTGATTTATCTATTTTAGGCTCTACATATGATATGTAAAATTATTAACAAATAAAGCAACTGATCTTGAAACCCATAAGGAAATTAGCTCAAAAACATTTATTTGGTGCATGCAACAGATTCATTGTTAGCTTTGACTTTCAGGGAGGAAATAAAATGGTGTGTTTCATTTCAGTGTTTTGAATTTAGTTTTTTGAAAATTAATTTTTTTATTTTTCGTATTTTATTTTTATTTTTAGTGAATATTTTTAAAATTTTAAATAAATTTTTTTTTATTTACTTTTTTAGATGTACATGTGTCATGCTCCAAAATTTGGACAATTAAATATTAAATTAGGACTAAATCCCAATTAATATTTCATCATTCAAATCCCAAGGGTGAAACAAAAAAACTAAACGTCAATCAAACCATCCACTATAATTTCATAACTAACTAATACCTCCAACATTAAAGTAACAATACATAGTCAAAATAACTTAAATAATGTACAGTTACAAACCGTGCCAAATTATCTCGATACTAAAGTTATAAAAAAAAAATACATAAACTTATATCAACCCTAAACTCAATAAAACAAAAAAAATCTAAAAGACATGTCCAACAACTATAGTTATTCCACGTCACCACCGTAGCCTCAACTAATCCTGCAAAAGAAGCTCGACAGCGTTCAAACAGAACGCATCCCAGTTGCCAAGGGACAAAACGGGTCAGTATATAAGTATACTGGTATGAGTACAAGATTTAATACCCATGTGTCCACCAGACACAAACAAAAATATATTTAATTCTTGTTACGTGACAAGACAAGTAGTTTCATCCGCGTCGAGACGAATGGGTAATTTCTCGAGATACGGTGACGTTTAATTTCTTACCCGTACACAACGAAATATAAATTGAGTATAAAATAAACAAAATAAAATAAAAATATGGTGAGTCAGCCTTGCATAAAAAATTAGTAAGACCCACCATCCTGCAAAAAAAATAAAGTTAGCATAATCATAAGAAACTTGCTAAAGAAGTATAAAAATGCACCGTTTCATACTTAAATAATTCGAATTGACCAAAACTCAAAGAACAAAAGTTGTACAAAATGAAATTTTCTACAACACATTGCGAACGAATTTAGTAGAAACTGAACAGATTGAGAGAAAAATTTGATAGAAGAACCTAGGCGGAATTCAACTAAAAAATCTGAAACTGAAAATGAACAGAAACTGTTCTAAGAAGATTTTTTTTGAAAAATTTCAAAACACGAAAAGTGTACAGAATAATTTTTTACTTTAGTTTATGCGAAACCAAGAAAAATGAGCTCATTTCGTTGGTTAAAACAACATCTAAAGTCTGCCATGCTAAAATGAATAAAAACTATTGTAACCAAGATTATCCGATTACAAGTTCTAACCAATCTTTTTAATAAGAAGTTAAAACACAAAAGTTATCTAGAATCACGTATACATGCCTCTGCTCAAATTTCATAATTTATCGAGGTCATTTACTATTTTTTAACATGTACAAATTAATACAATTCACACTATACTAATAAACTCATAATTAAATTCTTTGTACCTTAACTCCACCACTTCGGCTCTTCACTTTTAGCCTACACATAAATCTCATGTGCCTCCCGTATACCTAACACCGCTCCGAAGCCAAACTTGCACGGGGATATCGTCCCGAGTTTGACTTACACTCCCTGGATGGTTAGCATACACGTATGTGCGTGTATCAAAGCATTCGTCTACTCATGAGAACGAGGCAACAATATATATGCACAACATCTTATTCATGAGAACAAACATAACAATGCCAAGCCTAAGGCATTCAAATAAATCTCATAATGAAGAAACATACTCTCCTCTTTCTCACCAACACTCAAATAAAATAACAATCCATGGAGTCATGATGGAATGTAAGAACTTTATCTATGGGTTCCTAATTTATTTTAATTTCATATGTCCATGTGTATAATTACAACCATAAAATAAATATATATAGAAACCCTAAACTTGGCATACACAACTAATCAAAATAATTAAAATCAATCAATCATTTAAAAATCGTAAACCTTACATACACAACTAATCTAAATAATTAAAATCAATCAATCATCTAAAAATCCTAAACCTTACATACACAACTAATTAAAATAATTAAAATCGATAAATTATCTACATGCAAATACGAAATCAATTCAACATCAAATAAATAAAAATAATGAATTAAATATAAATCAAGGTAAGTGAGTTTTGTACTCATAATATTTTTTGAAGATCAAAAAATCACTTAAGAGAATTAATAGAGCCACCAAAATAAAACCTTCAACTTTTCTTCTCCCCTTTCCTCTTCCTCCCACACATTGATGCATACCCTCTCTCTCTCGGCTTGCCGCCGCACACAGCACTACTCTTTTCTTTTCTTTGATTACCTAATCCCTATTCTAACTTACTAAACTATTATAATATATTATATTATATAATACAACATAATTATAAGATATATAAATATAAATATAAGATTAAATATATATATATATATAACACCTTTTTTTTATATAACAAATATAAATATATAAATATTTAGATTAATTATATATAATTAAATAACACATTAAATTAATTAAATACCACATTAAATTTTCATGTAACCACGCAATTAATAAAGTCAAAAATAAAATAAAGTAATAATAATAAATAAGACTTACGAAAAATTAGCGTCGTTACAATATAAACACCTCAAAAGAATCTCGTCCCGAGATTCGATAGGAGAGAGTACTAAGCAAAAAGTTCCGGGTGCATACGCCGAACTTTCTCTTCTAATTCCCAAGTGATATTATTCTCATCCTCGCTCCATTGCACTTTAACCAAGTTCACTTTCTTGCGCCGCAACTGCTTTACATCTTGAACTAGAATAGTAACCGATCGCACCACATACGTTAGATCATCACTAATCTCCAACACTTCTGGTGATACTACTTGGGAAAAGTCTTGCACATACTTCCGCAATAAAGATATATGGAACACATTGTGAATCATAGCTAAAATAGGTGGTAGAGCTAATTTGTAAGCCACATTACCAATCCTCTCCGTGATCTCGGATGGTCTCACAAATCTAGGGGCCAACTTTCCCTTCTTTCTGAACCGCATGATACCCTTCATCGGTGAAACCTTCAAAAACACAAAATCTCCAACATTCAACTCAACCCCCTTACATTTTCTATCAGCGTAACTTTTCTAACGACTCTGTGCAGTCTTAATACGTTTCCGAATAATGTTCACATTCTCCATGGTCTCTTTCACCAACTTTGGCCCTAACAACGGTGTATCTCCTATCTCCATCCAACAAGCAGGTGATCGACATAACCTCCCATACAAAGCCTCAAAATGTGCCATCCTAATACTGGAGTGATAGCTATTATTATAAGCAAACTCCACTAATGGCAAGTGTTCTTCCCAACTACCACCAAGATTGATGACACAAGCTCTCAACATATCCTCCAAGATCTGATTTACCCGTTCAGTTTGCCCATCCGTCTAAGGATGATAAGCCGTGCTCAGGTCTAACCTAGCACCCAAAGCATGCTGAAAGCTCTCCTAAAACTCTGCCACAAATATCAGATCACGATCCGAAACTATAGAAATTGGTGCGCCATGAAGTCGCACCACCTCTCGAATATACAGCCTAGCCAGTTTATCCGTAGTTCAGTGAACACTGATAAGAATAAAATGCTCAGACTTGGTAAGTCGATCCACTATCATCCAAACAAATTCATTGCCTCGCTTAGACCGCGACAATCCATCCATGAAATCCATAGAGATGTACTCCTATTTCCAAGTAGGGATCTCAAGAGACTGCAAAAATCCAAACGGTCGTTGGTGTTTTGCCTTAACCTGTTGGCACACATAATATGAAGAAACATACTCTCCTACGTCCTTCTTCATACCTTCACACCAAAACGTCCTCTTTAGGTCATGATACATCTTAGTCTCGCTAGGGTGAATAATATATCGGGTCCTATAAGCATCATCCATAATCTCTTTCCTCAATTCAACTATGTTAGGTGCGCACAACCTGCCCTTGAATCGCAGTCTCCCATCTGAGTCCACAGACCAATCAGTAAGACAATCATCGATCAAATCCACTACAAGGTCATCGAGCTTGCTGATGAGAAACCCATCTAAATTCTGCATCTAACAAACTTTACCCAATAACGTCGGCTGTACGATCAAACTACCAATGTATGCCCTCTCAGTACTCTCTATTGGTTGAACATCATGCATCGAAATTAACTCCAAGGACTTCCATTCTTGAATCATCAAAGAAGCTATAATCCCATGTTGTCGCTAAGTGCATCTACGACTAAATTTCCTTTCCCCGGGTGGTAAAGGATTTCGAAATCATAACTATTGACGAATTCAACCCATCTCTGTTGCCTCATATTCAACTCTTTTTGAGAAAAAAGATATTTGAGGCTCTTGTGATCTGTGTACAACTCAAAGCGCTTCCTAAACAAGTAGTGTCGCCACACTTTCAACGCAAAAACAACTGCTGCTAGCTCCAAGTTATGAGTAGAGTATCGTCTCCCATGAGGTTTTAACTGTCGAGAAGCATAAGATACAACCTTCTGATGCTGCATCAACACATATCCCAACCCAGTTCCACTCGCATCTGTAAACACTACTAACTTTTCCCCTTGTACTGGTATAGTTAACAACGGTGCTGTAGTCAACCGCTGCTTTAACTCCTGGAAAGCTGTCTCACAATCATCTGTCCATAAGAACTTCACATTCTTGCGGGTCAACTTGGTTATGGGTACTGCAATAGTGGAAAACTACTCTATAAATCTCTTGTAATAACCAGCTAGTCCTAAAAAACTTCTCACCTCTGTAGGGTTCGTGGGCTGCTTTCATTCTTTGACCGCAACAACTTTTTCAAGATCTACCGCTATCCTTTGATTGGATACAACATGTCCCAAAAATCGAACTTCTTTCTTCCAAAAATGACACTTAATTAACTTAATGTATAACTGCGGCTCCCTCAAAGTCTGCAATACAACTTTCAAGTGTTCTCTGTGTTCCTCTACATTCTTAGAATACACCAGGATATCATCTATGAAAATAATCACAAACTTATCTAGATATGGTTGAAAACTTCTATTCATCAAGTCCATGAAATAGGCAGGAGCATTAGTCAAACCAAAAGGCATTACAGGAAATTCGTACAACCCATACCGGGTCTGAAAAGCAGTAAGCGATATACTTTCCTCTGACACACTCATCTGATTGTAACTCGTTCTGAGATCAAATTGAGAGAACATGGCTGCCCCCTTCAACTGATCAAACAAGTCATCAATTCTAAGTAGCGAACACTTGTTTCTTGATAGTCACCTTGTTTAGCTCTCTATAATTTATGCACATACGGAGAGTGCCATCTTTCTTGGAGACAAAGATCGCAGGTGCTCTCCATGGGGAGTTACTTGAACGTATGAACCCTTTTTGAAGCATCTCTTCCAACTGTTTCTTCATTTTCACAAGCTCTTTAGGCGCCATTCTGTATGCCGCTTTAGAAATCGGTGCAGTTCCCGGCACTAGGTCAATGTGAAATTCTACTACCCGTTGAGGTGGAGGTCTAGGTATCTCCGGAAATACATCCTTAAACTTACGCACCACATCTACCTCACTAATATCCTCCTTAAGGATTTCTACCGAGCATAGAAAACTCGTTATCACCGACTCTTCTCCATCGCTAGAAGTGTGGGTAAGCCGTGGCATACTGGGAATATCTATATTTACAGTCCTTCCAGCACAATCTAGAGTCACAAACTGTTTTTGCAGCTAATCCATATCCAAAATAATTACAAACCCCTCAAACCCTAACACAATTAGGTCCGCGTACAAGACTTTGCCCACAAAGTCAATCTCAAAATTTTTACACATCTCATAAAGAGTAACTGCCCCTCCTAAAGGGGTCTCAACACGTATATGTCTAGATAATGAGGTAGTTACAATATGTTCACTTTCTACAAACTTACTAGATATGAAAGAATGAGAGGCACTAGTACCAAAAAGTACCCTAATGGGTTCTTAAAAAAAATTAAAGATACCTTCCAGCCATCACCTTCAAGGTAAACACACAAAAAGATTCGTTCATAAATACGTAGAATAAATTCAACCACCAAACTAAACCAACTAAACCATGTTTTCATAATTCGAGGATCACCTAAACTCTCACAAGTCTAGGGTAACCTAGAGCTCTGATACCAAATTGTCACGCCCCCAAATTTAGACAATTAAATATTAAATTAGGACTAAACCCCAATTAATATTCCATCATCCAAATCTTAGGGGTGAAATAAAAAAACTAAACACCAACCAAACCATCCACCATAATTTCATAACTAACCAATACCTCCAACATTAAAGTAACAATACGTAGTCAAAATAACTTAAATAATGTACGGTTACAAACCATGCCAAATTATCTCAATACTAAAGTTATAAAAAAATAATAATAAATACATAAACTTATATCAACCCTAAGCTTAAGAAAACAAAAGAAATCCAAGAGACATGTCCAACAATAAAGGCAAAAATAAAATAAAGTAATAATAATAAATAAGACTTACGAAAAATTAGGGTCGTTACAACATGTATCTAAGTAGTAAAATATTTGTGAAAAAATATTTTAAAAAATTAATAAATATGAAAAATATACTGAATTTTTATTTTTTTGTATTTTTGGTATTTAGTGAATTTTTTAAAGATTTTTTTTACAAATATTATACTTTTTAGGTATATTTATGTTAGGTTTGTCTAAGAATTAAAAAAAAATGCTTAAAATATTAAAAAAATTCAATGAAAACAAAAAAATACGGAAAACGAAAAAGTAAAATTTTTTGAAAGGTGAATTCTGAAAACTGAAACTAAACAGAGTAATTGTTTTGTGAAAATAAACCAAACTTTAAGTCCCATCAAATGAGGTTAGCTATATGAATTCTTCTTCTCCACTCGACTCTATCAATGGTCATTTGGTAAATCAAATTAAGGAGATTCATATCTCTATTTACTTCACGAACCTACGTTAATTTAGGTCTGCCTTTTTTTCTAACACTTTTTTTTGGAAAATTGGTTTTTATAAGGCTTATTTTGGGCCATCTTTGAGCCCAAAATGGAGTGGGACCAAAATGTCTTTTGGGGTGGGTCCGAAGAGGTGACGTGTTCCTTGTCACGTAGCAAGTCACATAGTGAAGACGGTTCGTCAAAACCATTTATGAGTGAATGAGAAGTTGACGTCGTTTTCAGGTTCGTGAAATTGGACATTTAAAAAATTAAATGTAGGTTTCCTTGTAAAGCTTGTCCCACATTGAAACTTTAAGAGAGCTTTTGTATGTATATAAGCTCTAGATTACAACACTTGGGTTGGGCACCAAGGGACAACCCAAGTTTGTAGAAGTGAGGAGTAATGGACAAAGTGAACCTTAGCCCAAACCACCACATGCGTCGCCGCCGTCCGTCCAGCCAAGTCGTACTGGGCGCGGGTGTGGGTTTTGGGTCGGGTTAGTTCTTGTATTAATTTTTTGGAGAAAATTTATTTGAATTTTTTCCAAAAATTCTTTACGAAATTAATTCAAAACTTGAATTTAATTTTTTGACCTTTGTTACCTCTTCCAGTCCATTTTTCCAAAACAGATTAAACTGTTCAAACAGTTTTCAAATCTGTTTTAACCTGGATAGATTCATTTTTACCAGACAGGTCTTTTAACTGTAGCAGTTTTTCAACAGATAGAAACTGTTGGGCAGTTACCTGTTTGTACCTGTTCATTTGATTTCTTAACAGATTAAAGTTTTGAATAGATTTAAAACTTTTTTTTGACATGTTTATAACTGCCAAAAACTGCCCAGCAGTTTCCAGTAGTTTACAGATTGAACAGTGACAGAATTGTTCAAATTTTGAATCTGTATCTGTTCAAAACAGTGTATACCTATTCATTCAAAATCTGTACCTATTCGGATAGATCTTTTGGCCTATAAATTCCAGCATTTTCCAGTAGTTTGGGGTTGGGAAAATATCCAGAAAAAAATTCATTTTGTTGCCTTCATTTTGCTTTCTTGCATCATTATTCTTCATATTAGTTTTAGAATAAAATTTAGAGAGTTAAGAATACAGGTTTGGTTCACCGTACAAATTGTTTGGAGTGCTACTACAATTTGTGAAGATCATTGTATCCTGGGAGATAGACGCCTTTTATCCGTAAGCACCATAGCGGGGCGAATCTGTCTTAAGGACAGAGTGCCACACACTCGACTTGATCTTTTAAATATTCATTTCGGTTCGGTAAAATAAATTCTGTAAGTTATTTATTTTATTTATTTGATTTAGTTTCCATTTATTTATTGTACACAAAAGATTGTTCCAACAATCTTAAGACAGATTCGAATTATTCTATTTATACAGAATTTTTCGTTTATTTCCTTTCTTCTTTCTTCTTCTTTCAGAAATTATTTTCTGTGATTTTACAAAATAATATTCTGGTTGGAAAACAAATAGTAGTGATATACTGCTTGACAGATAATAGTAATATACTGTCTATTTTCTTTGATAACTAGTAGTAATATACTGGTGTCATTAATAATTCAGAATATTTATTTGTGAAATTTTGCCAGAAATTAATTTTGGTTTTCAAAAATTATCTTCTGAGTGTTCATTAATTAAAATTTTATTTCAGTATTTTAATTATTGAAGTGTTACAGAAATTTAATTTTCTGTGTGGAATTAATTTGGTTAAATAAAATTTTATTTTATTTTCAAATTAATTGAAAATAAAAGTTACAATTCTTGTTTCTTTTATTTTACAGAATTTAATTATGTGGTTTTGGTTTAAATTTTCTTTGTAATATAAAATTCTAATTATAATTTTGTTTTATAATTTAGAATGCATGACTACTGAAACTGGTTAAATTAATACCCAAACAAGTACTAGTGTGGTGGTTGCAATTGCTCCAATCCCTCCTGTTGTGACTGTGCCAGTTGATTATGGTGAAAAACCAAAGAAGTTCTTAGGAACTGATTTTAAAAGATGGCAGAAGAAAATGCTATCTAAAGGAGGGGAAACTAAAAAGTACAAGTTTAATGGCAAGTGTTACATATGTGACAAAGAGGGACATCGGGCCAAAGATTGCCGTAGCAAAAGCAAAAGTAAAAGAAGAACAAGCAAAAAGCCTGCCCAAACCCATATGACCGAAGTTGACAATATTTCCAATGATGTAGATGACATAAATCTTTCTGCAGTTGTTTCCGAGGCAAACTTTGTCAGAAATCCTAAAGAATGGTGGGTGGACACTGATGCTACTCGCCATATCTGTGCCGACAAAAAGATGTTCACATCTTATTCTACGATGGACAATGGTGAATAACTTTTTATGGGCAACTCTTCAACTTCTAAAGTTGAAGGACAATGAAAGATTATTCTGAAGATGACATCTAGAAAGGAACTCACTCTCAATAATGTGCTGCATGTACCGGACATTCGCAAGAACCTTGTTTCCGGATCTTTGTTGAGTAAAAATGAATTTAGGCTAATTTTTGAAAGTGACAAATTTGTACTTACCAAAAATGGGATGCATGTAGGAAAATGTTACATGTTTGATGGCCTTTTCAAAAATTAATGTAATGACTGTTGTACCCTCTGTTATTAATAAAAATACATATTCTTCTTACTTGTTTGAGTCTTCAAATTTATGGCATGGTAGACTTGGACATGTTAATTATAGATCTTTGTGTAGATTAATTAATATGGAATGTTTACCTAAATTTGACATTGATTCAAATCATAAATGTGAAATTTGCGTTGAGGCAAAATTATCCAAAACTCTTTTTCGTTCAATTGAAAGAAGTACGGAACCACTTGAATTAATTCATAGTGACATTTGTGATTTTAAATCAATTCAAACTAGAGGTGGGAAAAAGTATTTTATCACATTTATAGATGACTATACTAGATATAGTTATGTTTATTTAATTCGAACCAAGGATGAAGCTTTGGAAACTTTCATTCAATATAAGAATGAAGTTGAAAATCAACTTGATAAGAAAATCAAGAAACTTAGAAGTGATAGAGGTGGTGAATATGAATCACCTTTTGCTGAATTTTGTAAAGAACATGGAATAATTCATCAAACCACCGCTCCTTAAGAAATATAAAATGAATATAAGGAATCATTTGATTTGAGCATAAAACTTAAATAAATAAAAATAAATAAATAAAGATGAATAGAAGAGAAAAACGAATATAAACTAACTAACCGTAATCATTTAAAAATTTCTTGTGCCGATCGTAAGCGTTAAGTCCTCGTATGTGAGCCTGGTACTGCCTGCAAACAGAAAACTTGTGAGGACACCACATGGAGTATAAAAGGAGAGGGAGAGAGATAAAGGAAATAAAAACGCACTGTTTTCTCTCTTCTCTGTCAAAGATTGCAGACTTGAGAGACCTAAAAGACGCCATTTCCTGGTTGTGAACACGTAAAAACCTAAAATCCCTGCTGGTATGAACAACCTTCAAATTTGCGCACAAAAAATAAAGGAAAACTTCGAAGAAAATTAATACTCATATATTGAATTAGGCCAAGTTTGGGAGCAGGTCTTCTTTAGTAATTTCCTTTTGTATTTTTTACTAAAATATAATATAAAAAGATTAATATATTTAGACCATCTCCAACGGTGAACCAAACCCAGCATCAGATTTAAATTTTGATGAAAAATCCACTTTTTC